TTTTATATTTTTATGACAGTATGTTGCACTGAAGCACCGCAGCAATTTCCTAATGTTGTAAACCTGCTCAACATCTGGCAATAAACCCTTTCTGATTCTGATTCTGATTCTGGTGGTTGTAGAAATTTTGTGAGGTTTAACCTGAGATTCTGGCGTTTCAGGCAAAATAAATTTATATTTAAAAATCGATTCAGGATTTTAATGAATCGATATCACGTTATCCAAGCCAGAATCGATTTTAATTGATAAATCCCACCCCTAATTATGAATCCAAACAAATAGTTGATCTCCAAAAGCATTGGGACTTCAGTTTAGAGAGGTCACATCCTAGCTCTGAGAACATAACAAATTTCTTTTTAAACTTGAGTGGACAAACATCTAAATGTATGTGAAACCACAGCCTGTACAGTGGCAGAAAAAAGAAATCCTGCTTCTTGATGCACATGAAGGATTTCTGTAATGCTGCAGCACCAACTGGCAGGGATCTCTGCATTCCTTTGTCAGCTGACTAACTCCACTCTGTGTGTTTAAAGACCACTTATGTGTGTTAGAAATACAAACACACACTCTTAGATGCTTCTCTGAGGTGTAGCCCTACATGTGAGTGAGTGAGAGACACTTTGACATGGGACAGGACAACACAAACAAAAACACGCACACACACACATACTTCTGTTCTTACCTTGTCTATAGGTAGTGGTAATGGAGGCTGGATGACACTGAAAGAGGAAGAGAGGAGAGAAAAAAGTTCGTCACCATAGAAACACCAAAGAGCAAAGACACGTGGAGTAACCACGGAGACCGAAATAAAAAAAATGTTCCTGGAAAAGTCTTGTGACATCGGTTTTTCAGCTCATTTTAATAAAACATTCATTCTATTACGACCAAGTCACTGGCAACAAGGAGTCCATTTCCCACACCTTTCTGACATTTCACCAGGTATAAATCACTTGATGTAAAAAATATCCACTCAGCAACTGAGCCTTGCAACAATTTTTAGATGGGAAGAGCAGAAAAAAAGACAAAGGAAAAAAAAAACCTAAGACTTTTCAGACTAAAACTTTGGTTATGTTCATAGGTTATTTATGCAACTGGGGAAAAATAAAAAGTGAGCATTTATATATTACATATTTATGTATGTAATTTAATCAAGCAAAAACCTCCAGGTCTGAAAAATGAAGTCAATTCATGAAGAAAATAACTGCAGTCCCTCTAATGGCCACTTAAGGCAGGCTTTTAAAGTGAGTTAGTTGGCACAGACTCACATGTTAAAATGTCTAACTTTGCAACATAAATAATCATGTTTACAGCCTGCAACAAAACCTTTGTTGACAGGAAAGTCCATAAAAGGGTGAAACTAACAAGAAAAGATAATAACCTGGTTATGACCAAGTGTATGAAAAAAATGCCAGTCAGTTATTAGTAGTGGTGGTAGCAGTAATAGCGGTAGTAGCAGTAGGAATAACTATTGTAGTATTAGTATTTTTTTATTACCATTTTTAATAGTTAACCTGTTTTCACACGTTTCACAGCTCACTGAGCTCAGCTAAATGCTCCATCAGAGACTGCACTCAGGTGGGTTTTATGTGACATACACTAATAACAATACTCAGTATCTCAGTGATACTTTTATAGGAAGATGAGTGGATATCTTTTGTTTGTGTGTTTGCTTTTGGAAAGACATGAAATCACACTGTCTAAATTCCTAAGTACCCTGCTATACTGGAACAAAACTGAAACCTAAGAGTCAAATAAATATTGCCATGTGTTACTTCAAAATGGCAGATAACTGGTTTCCTTTTTTTTTTTTTTTAAATAATATTATTAGTTGACTAATTTAATTCACATACTCATTATCAGTTTCACTTGCAGCCTGAAAAACACTCAGACACATATGTGTTTTTAACTTTTAGTGAACTTGCACTGAATCACACTGCAGTGGCTGCTGTGTATGTTGGATCAGTGTGGTGTGGTTGCTGCAATTACATCAAACACAGTCAAGTCAAGCTTAAGCCTGAGAGGATTTCCCTTAAAGTACAGGAAAAGTCAGAGATTGATGCGACTGTATTCTTGCAGACAACACCTTGAGGCCAGTCTCAAAAATATCCTGTTACATAAAGTCTGACTTTAATAACATCTCAAACTCACATATATGGACCAATAAAACACCAAACAGTGCATTGAAACGTTTCACTCAAATCAAGTGAGATGTGTAAGCACAGGATACAATTACTTTACTACAGTTTGCAAGGTTCCAAAAAAAGATCACTGTCTGATGAAAACAAACAAACAAACAAACAAACAAACCAAACAAACAAAGTCTTCAAGTAGGCCTGGAAATTAAACCTTTTCAGTCAGACCCTGTAAATCAACCATGTAGTTGACTATACAGTTTTGTTAAGGTTATACTGCTATCAGTTGTAAAATTAGCTACAGGTAAAAATTTAAGCTTAAATTTGTGTACTTTCAATGAGATAAACTTCAATGAATTCAGAAAATCTAATTTTCTTTAAGAAATAAACAGAAATTAGAGTAGGCAAACATAATAACAGTTTAGAGTGCATCTACTATCCATTTCCTTATTTCCTGTCATGTATAGTTGCAGTGGTAGATGTTCATAGCAAACATGGCCAACGTTTCAAATAAAGTCACCTACAGTACTGTGCACCAGTCTTAAGCCAATCATTTCTTTACATTTTGCTAGAAAATGGGAAATGGGCACATTTGAAGTAAATGATCAAGTGCAAAAATAAAGGAAAAACAGATGCCTGCCATTTGTTCTGTTCTGTCAGGATGATCCCACAATGCTTCAATAATGCTGAGGTCCAGTTCTCTGGGGAGGTCAATCCATGACTGATGGTGTTCAGCTGTGCATTTTTCCACTCAGGTGATGCTTTTACTGCATTGGCAGTGTTTGGGATCACTGCCATGCTGAAAAATGAAGCTGTTACCAATCAGAAGCTTTTAAGATGGTATTGCAACAGGCCCATAAGACTACTGCCACTAATTTTCAGTCCAGTTCTTATGCAATTTGGCATACTTCAACCTTTTCTCCCCTTAAGCCTTTCTATAAAGAAATAAAGGATGGCTCAAGAATTTTGAACACACATGATCCCTGTGAACCAAAAGCTCAGGCTCATGAATATCCTGATACAAGCAACAATCATTGTATTGTGTCTGCTTAGGTAGGTACGCAAAGTCAAATATGTATCTGCACTTTTAATGGTCACTAGGATATAAAAACCATTCACTTGTACTAACCAATTACCACATTAGCCACAATAGCATGTAGACATACCAGCCATACAATGGAAACTGTCATGAACATCTTCTGTTGCATATGCATAAGCGCAACAAATGATTGGCTCATCTGTTTCCTGTTTTGGCTATTGGTTGGCTCTTTAGAGACAGTGGCCACTATCTTCTATAGCTTTCCATTTAAATTATTCTTTAACAGCATCACTTTTCTTGTAATACCATGGATTTAACTTCGTTATTATAACTGAATTTTTCAGTAAACTGTGGGATTCATATTGTAAAGATATGTAGGACACAGCAGGACATAGCAGTCAGAAGATGAATGCATTCATTTTAAAAATCACAAACCAGTGCAATAAATTTGTAGGTCACTTGTTTTAACACTGCACTGCTCCACAGGATCACATTTTTCCATTTCCTTAGGTCAAACCATGCATAATAATATAGTACAGTCACTGTGAGTCGCTTCCACTGCTCTCTGTGTTGCATTAATTAAAAAACACAGTAGTTTTGACAGGAGCTGAATGAAGAATAAATCTAAACCAAAACCACAGTGTGAAACCTTCAGTTGCTGCCCCGCAGAAACAGGGCCTCTGTCATTTTGTGCAGTGTTTACCCAAAGTACTGTAATCTTACAGCACAGCAAGGTCATGCAGGTTTGTTTGAGAGACAGTGTCGAGATTACATAGAAACAGTCACAGTTCAGGAAGGTAAATTCAACTCTGGGCAAAAAAATAACTCAACACTGGTAATGTGTCACTACTCCCTGCAGAAATGTAGAACGCAGCAGCTCCTTTAACAAAAAACTCACGGGTCGCATGAATTCTCATGACAAAAACACATTTTACAAATCAATAATTGGTTGTTTTTCTATAGGAGACAAGAACAAGCTGGACTTCAATACATTTCCTCTTATAAAAAGGATTGCAGCACACACTTCAGCTGAACATACTTATAACTCCAACTCAAATTTGCTTGGTTACTGAGCTGCATGTAAAATTCTGCTCAGAAGAATGAAGATGCAGAAACTATTGTACATCGATTTTATCAGTTAGGTGCAACTCAAAGTAACAACAGGTGCACTGAAGAAGCCACAAAACAACCATGAACAAGGGAATGGTTTAGCCACAGACCACTGCTGTCTTACAACAAAAATAAAAGCCAACAGTTTTATCTTCACTATTTTTAGGCAACTTTCTTCTGGATGGCAGTACCTCACAAACTAATGAGATGACAATACACGACCAGAAATCTGCAGTGAATAAATAGATGGGTTGAGAAAAGCACTTTCATTAACCTCAGTTTGTACATAAGGCCAAAACTGCAGGTCAGAAAAATAATTAAAAGCACTTTAAAAGGTTAAGGCAGTGATTTAAAAGGATTTTTGTACATTTAGGACCAGCAGAGCAGGTTCTCTGCAGAGATTAGAGCAAACAGCTTCCACAGAGCCACATCGTCAATCACAGTTAACACCCAGTACTTTATGTTGAGTTGGGCGTTTTCATATCAGAGCTCCACTGCCTGCTGATCACATGACACCCAGCAAGAAGAAATGGAAAAACTGCAATCCTCCTAAATATGTCATAACATTAGATATTTTAGTCTTTCATACAGTATTCCATGTTTCCTCTTATCTTGTTAAAATCTCCTAGTCATATTTTTAACTGGATACCAGCAAATAAGCATTGTAACACTTGTATGCTGGGCACTGGCACTTCCAGAGGACTCTTGTCCTGAAGGGATGATGATTCTTCTTCACTGTGTTGTTCCAACAATTTGTTCCTGCTGCATTCATTCAGTCACAGTGCTGTCACATTTCTGTGCATAACAGCTGGCAGCAGTTCTAGTATTCAGATACCATCTTCATATCAGCACTGCTCATGCTAATGATTGGGGCGACCGTGGCTCAGGGGGTTGGGAATCGCATCTGTAACCGGAAGGTCGCCGGTTCGATCCCCGGGCTCTCTGTCCTGGTCGTTGTGTCCTTGGGCAAGACACTTTACCCTACTTGCCTACTGGTGTTGGCCAGAGGGGCCGATGGCGCGATATGGCAGCCTCGCTTCTGTCAGTCTGCCCCAGGGCAGCTGTGGCTACAACTGTAGCTTTCCTCCACCAGTGTGTGAATGTGAGAGTGAATGAATAGTGGTATTGTAAAGCGCTTTGGGTGCCTTGAAAAGCACTATATAAATCCAATCCATTATTATTATTAGCCTTTTGCCTCTCTCTTTACCCATACATAACAGAAATATGGGTTTTTGTGATAGTTTGTAGGTTTGGATTAATGGCTTGTGTACAGTGAAGACAATGAGGTTTCTTAGATACAACAGAACGTTATAATCCATCTTCTTCATTTTGACCATTTGAAACCCTGATCCAGGCACCAAAAATGTTTAAAAAAAACAAAACAAAAAACAAACAAACACGTAAATAAGCCAAGATAACTGTCCTTTAAAGAAACTAC